ACTCTTTCTCTCCTACAATATATTCATTTCAATTATCTCTCTTTTCTCTTGCTCACTTCTCTCTGTATTTTTCTTTATTCTTCCTTTGATTTTATCTCTCTTTATTTTCGTTCTCCCTTTATTTCCTTGCAATTTCTCACTTTCTTTCTTATTTTAATCTCTCTCTCTCTCTCTCCCTCTCTCTCTCTCACTCTCTCTCTCTCTCTCCCTCTCTCTCTCTCTCCCTCTCTCTCTCTCCCTCTCTCTCTCTTACTCTCTCTCTCTCTCTCTCCCTCCCTCTCTCTCCCTCCCTTTCTCTCCCTCTCTCTCTCTCTCCCTTCTCTCTCTCTCTCTCTCTTGCTTCTATTCTTCTCTCTTTATTTCTATGTCGCGGCTCTTTATATTTGTCTCTCTTTATTTTCTCTCTTTTTATTTTCGTTCTCACTTCGTCTCCCTTTATTTCCTCTCTATTTATCTCTTTATTTATTTCTCTCTCTCTCTTCTTTCTCTCTTTTACTTTCTTTCTTCTGTCAGTCTCTCTCTTTCTTCTATTCTTTTTCGTTTTTCTTTATTTTGTGTTTCTCTCTCTCTTCTTCTTCTCTTTATTTTCTATCTCTCTTTATTTTCTCTCTTCTTTTTATTTTATCTCTCTTTATTTTCCTTCTCTTTTCTTTGTTTCTCTCTCGTCTCTCTGTCTCTCTCTTTCTTCTATTCCTATCTCTTTATTTCTCATTCGTCTCTCTTCATTTTCGTCTCTCTTTATTTTTGTCTCTGCCTCTCTCTCTTTTTTCTTTATATTCTGGCCCTTCCTTTTTTTTTCTTTCTATCTCTCTTTTTCTCTCTTTAACTGAATGTTCGACGCTTTAAGGTCTTTCTCACGTGGATCCACTCTTTCAATATCTTCATCTCACTCTCATTCTTCTTACGAAAAAATGCAAAGGAAATTGATCACAAATTTTCTTGTCAATTTTTTTTTATCCATTTCTTCTGTCTGCTGACGTCCTTAGCATAAAAAAATGGTTTTCTCTAAAAAAAAAGAAACATAAAAACAATATATTCTCTCGTAAATAATGTACAAATAAAAATTGTAGAATACAACAATTGAATAAAGAAAATAAAATAATATTTAGGGACTCAAGCTAATTAACACTGGAATAACTACCACGAAAAATAAAAATGGAAAGTGCTTAAAATGTAGAAAAAAACATAAATTAATAAATAAATCTTGGGGCAGATAAGAAATTGCAATAAAAAAATTAACAGATAAAATCTAAAATATTAAATAAACAAGACAAGACAAATAAAACGCCAAGAAATCACTTGAATGTAATAAAATATTAAACGAAAATCTAAATAAAACTGTTTTAAAATTAATACGCTCATAAAACAAACATAATGGAATATGATGATAGATTCAAACTGTAAAAAAAAATAGCATGAAAAACAAAAAAACAAAAAGAAAACAAAAATTCAAAATGAAAAGAATTGCGTTCATATTGCTTTTCCTTCCCGCCTCACATATGAAATAACCAAAATGGCGTCCTGACATTAGATTTGCTTTCCAACAAAAAGCAATAATGTTCTAGTTTCTTCTTAATATTTATTTTTATTTTCATGCCAACTGTTCTGATGAGCTTTATTCCCTGGTGCACTGACTATATGAATTTAAGCACATTACTAGATTGGCAACTAGGTCTCACCGTTTTACTATTGAACTAACTAAATGCAACCGCCACTTCTACTCTAACATTTTGTTTTCTCGCACTTTCCACCTGTGGAACACATTTCCGTTTACTTGCTTCATTGATAACTACAAAAAGATTTAAAAGCAACCCCAATCGTCATCTTCTATCCTTTGACTTTTCTTCAATCCTCTCAAAACTCAGTCTTTTCTCTCACTTTCACTCCCTGTAAGACCCGGCGTACTAGTGATATTTCCGACTTGCTTGGGGTGAAATGATAAAAAAAAATCCTTCACTGCTGATTAGGTTGCCACTGTCGCTGCTGCTGTTGCTGTTGCTGTTACCCATGTTTTTGATTACTTCTTTTATGCTAGCGAAGCGACCATGTTGATACTGTAACAGATTCAAGAAAACTGACGATCACATGACCAGAATAGACATAAGTATGACCAGGCATGAGCAGAAGTCTATGTGATAAACCTAACGATATATTATGGCGTTATTGTAGGTATTTTTACATTAATCTCGTAGATAGATAGATAGATAGATAGATAGATAGATAGATAGATAGATAGATACGAGCAAACGTTGATAGATACGAAAAAAAAACGATAGATGTTTTACTACAATGTTTACCCAAAAGGACCCAAATTTAGAGTGTTACTGAATGAGGTTGTTCTAAAGGCGTCTGTGGAGAAAGGATATATAGGGAAGGAAAGATAATGATTGACACTACATTTGAATAGGTTAATATCGTAGTAATCATCCTCTTAGGAGTCTGGGTAACAGACCTGAAGAAGAAGCTGTTAGAATGGAATTTCCTCTTTATCAATGAAGGAGACAAGGATGTTCGTGGCTTTGTTGGTTCTGGTCGTGAAGGTCTGAACTGGTGGAACAAATTGTTCTATTTGTCATTGTCATAGCGATAGAATAAACTGTTTACAGTATTTACATTCTTTGAACTGTTGTCCACATCTTTACTGTCACATTCACGACTTTTCGGCGGCTGTACGCTCCGGCCTTCTTCTATAAGCTGGAATTTCGAAGCGAACTCTTTATTTAGTCCGCTGGGTTAGATTGTTCTATTTCCACGCGCCATGCCTCTGGATATCCCAGTTTTAGTTCATTCGCTTTGACAACTGATAACTTGATAAATTTTTGTTCTCTCTGTTGATGCCAGGTACTGAACTCACAACTCTTTGAGTCAAGTCAATTTTTTTGATCAACCAATGGTTTCGCAGTAATATAAGCTCGCTTGTAACTCTGAGGACAATTTCATTCCCGGGTTAACCGACTTCTTAATTTTACACAGCTACGTGCCATATCACACAAGCACACACCCCACCACTACACTATTAAATATTTTTTTAAACTTTTTGAGCTATCTGTAATCATATAAAAATAATTTTCTCTTCTTTTGTGGGCTATGTTATATATATATATATATATATATATATATATATATATATATATATATATCTTCAATATGTTGAATTCACTATTTTTAAAAGGTATCAACTCCATGAACATGATGAGAGCCGAACCAGGTTTCATTTTCAGACCTTTAACGTTCTAACCACTAGACCCCGCTTATATTTTCGTGAAAGTATCAATTTTGATATTCACATGAATATAACCGACTTCTTACTTTCACACAGCTACGTGGCACATCTCACAATCACACTACACCACTACACTATTAAATATTTTTCTTTTTTACTTTTTGAGCTATCTGTAATGATATAAAAATAATTAATTTTCTCTTCTTTTGTGGGCTATATTATATATATATATATATATATATATATATATATATATATATATATTTATATATTTATGAAAAATTTCAATATGTTGAATTCATTTTTTTTTAAAGGTATCAACTCCACGAACATGATGAGAGCCAAACCTATGTCTTATTTTCGGACCTTTAACGTTCTAACCACTAGACCACGCTTATATTTTCGTGAAAATATCAATTTTGATATTCACAGGAATATAAGCGCGCTTGTAACTCTGAGAGTATGGTTATTGAGAGATGATTGATTTTGCTGTGAGATCGATTACACATTTTCAATTTTACGTGTCTCCTTTATCTTAACCCAAATCGATTAACTGATCACGGACGCATCAGACACTGGTATATGATATCAAAATGGCGGCTATTTGTCGACTCTACATTATACAGCAGATTTTTACGTTTTGCAAATTGACTTTTTAATCGATTGCTACAAGCAGTAAAATAAAGATAAAAAAACAAATTCTCCATAAACTATTGAAGAGGTCCCACGCCATACATAGTGATGCCTGGAAATGTGTTGACAAAATTATATGTAAACATATGTAAAAAAAAGAAAAACCTATGTGAAACAATTTGATGACAGAATTAAAGCATTACGTTGACAACTGCCTGATTATGCGAGTGATTTGCCCCTAGTTGAGGTTTAAGTCTTTTATTGCTAATGTTGGAAACCAAGGAAGATGGATGAGATTCCATGTCTTGTCCGAAGAGAAAAAAAAAACTCTCAATAAAGACAATACTTATTTGCAGTCGATTCTGCTCAGATACCACTTGTTCCTTACAGTGAAAAGTTGAGTATTTTTGCATTCTGTTTGATTGAATATTCTTTATTTTCAATAGGATTTGATATAACGATGTGCATAAGATTGAAGAGAATAAAAAGATCTACTGGTCTCATGAGAAGGAAAGAATAAAATAAGGCGAAATAAAGAGAACACAATAAAAGAAAGAAAGAAAAATAAAAATAAAGAAGGAATAAATTAAAAAGGAAACGATAAAAGAAAGAAAGAACAAAGACAGAAACTAAAACGAAAGAAAAAGAAAGAAGGAAGAATTAAGTAAAAAGAAAATGATAAATGAAAGAACTAGAAAAACAAAGAAAGAAAATAAAATAAAAAAGAATACGGTAAAAGAAAGAAAGAAAAAAGAAATAAAGACGGAATAAAAAAGTACAAAAAAAGAAAATGATAAAAGAAAGAAAGAATAAAGAAGGAAAGTAGGAAGAAGAAAGAAAAAAGGAAGAAAAAAGAAAGAAAAAAAGAAAGAAGGAAGAAAAAAGAAAGAAGGAAGAAAAAAGAAAGAATAAAGAAAGAAGGAAGAAAAAGAAAGAATAAAGAAGAAAGAAAAAGAAAGATAAGAAAGAAAGAATGAAGAAAAAAGAAAGAAGAAAGAAAAAAGAAAAAGTAAGAAAAGAAAGAAAGAATGAAGAAAAAGAAAGAAGAAAGAAAAGAAAGAAAAAAGAAAGAATAAAGAAAGAATGAAGAAAAAAGAAAAGAAAGAAAAAAAGAAAGAATAAAGAAAGAATGAAGAAAAAAGAA